ATATTATATATCACCTATAATCTCTACTGCAGCAGGAGTACAGACAGCTTGTTTTCCACCAACTGTAAATAGAAATTACTTTAATCTTCCCTAAAATGTTTACATGTAATCGGAGAAGTGTCCGATAACAAAAAAAAAGCTATAAAGATAAAGTTCTGTAAACTATGATTACACAACAAAGCACACTCTGTTATATTAAATTAATTAAAATGTAGATAGATTAATAATAATAAATTAAATTCCACTGTAAACATGGAAAACAGGAGTCATGACACGAAACGGGTTTATCTTTGTTACTTTGTTATTCTTCCTGTTGCGTGTGTCTTAGTGTTTCTCTGTTGATAAATGCTAGTACTTTGCATCATAATCTATATTTTTCGAGATGCTTCAGAAGCATGTAACCTTATCTAAGGTGTATAAAATCGGACAGTACGTATCGTTCATCTAGGGAGATCATTATGTATTCTTGTTCGCTAGTTATGAACAGCTTACAACTACCACTCAGTTCATTCTCAGCTCTTTTTAATATCGTAAAACCAGAAAGATTTGAAAGGTTATTATTACGGTAGACACTCTACACATTACCAAAGTAGTTTTGCAGTAGTTTCTTCTTTTAAAATAATTGTTTCCTGCTAAAGAGCCTGATCCTGCACTGGAAATGTGTGGTTTCACACCTACATTTATTTTTAAAAGAAGGATCCTACAGAGAGAAGTTTCTCCATTAAATGTTTAATTACACTTCTTTCAATAAACCAGAGAGACTTGTCTTACTGAACAGTTCCGTTCTCAGATCTGCCACTTAAAATGTCATGTGACTTTGGATTAATTACTTAAAGGCTGTGACTTGTTTCCTCTGTCTGTAACAAAGAAATAATTCTTACATACCTTGAACTGGCTCTGAATGTGACTAATACATGTGATTTTGTGATTCTTCTCAGAAGCACTGAAAACTAAGGTCAAGTTTTGCATGTAATTTTCATTATCGATATCTGACTTTCAATATAAAAAGAACTTGGAATAAAAACAGTGTGTCTCCTTTGGTTGTATTTGTTTTTAATCAAAGTCAGATTGGTCAACATTTCTTGAAAATGTGTGTGCCGTTTTCCAAGGCTTCTAAAAAATGCAAGAGCTTACTGAAGGTGCAGGCTACTTATGCTGCCTTCCATTTGTGCCATTAGGAATATGATTTTTGTAGGTAACATAAAAATATAAATTTATATGATTCCTGTTATTGGCTAGTTCATAGGAACAATAGATGAGTGTTTACCTGGCAAGCTTCTTTACAGGTAAAGCCAATTTTTTCATGTATGACAGAAGAGTGGTGTTAAATACACAAGCTCAGCCTCCACCATTTCTCTATTAAATTGCTCTTGGGAAAAAACAGATTTGTTATTCTTCAGAGAAGTTCTGTCTTCATTTCTGCAGCCATGTTCATCTATTTAAAATACACTATCAATGTTTTCATTCTGCGTCGTAGCACTTCTTTTATTAGTACAGTCACATATAGTAATAAAGCAGTTTACAGTTGGTTTTGCCTGAAATGCTATTTAGATGTGTTACAAAATTTGTTTGTTTACATATCTATAGTTTATTTAGCGGGACTTGTAAACTAATCCAAAGAAATGGGGGACAGCCTGCATCAGAAACATGAGAAACTCTTCAAAACATGAAGTCTCCATCAGGGGCTGTCATGGAGCCAACAAATTTGCGTGTTCTTCGGAGGCCGTCCGACCCATTGTGTTTTGTAGGGTTGCTGTACCCGGTCATCTTCATGACAGAGTTGGGAGTTCAATTTCTTTGAGGACACCTTGTAACAAACGGGTTGCAGTCATAAATCACGTTTCACTTTGTCTCTTCGTTTTTTCATGAGAGGTCTGACCGAAAATTTGTTGGGAGTTTGTGGTCCACTCAGACAAACCACATCATTTACTTATGATCATATCTTTTCACTGGGTCCCTCTACTGTCCTCTACCTGAACTGACTTCAGATACATTGAGAGATTTCTATGAAAAAGAGTCAGAGTTTGCCTCTTTGGTACATTTTTGTAAAATCAGATCAGAAATCTCGAAAAATGCAGACACTAAGCCAAAGAAATATATCTAATGCATATAATTGTGCATTAGCAGGTTTCTGATGGTCTTCTGACTCAGATAACACAGTAAGAAATAAAGTGCAGTCTGGTGTATCACTGAAGGCTGTGAAATGTACCAATTTATATTACTTAATTACAATTAGAGAAATCTCTTTGCTTAGTAAGTTTTGCTAATTTAAAATTCAAGCAGTTTTCAGAATGCCTTGTCCTTTATCTATGAGAAAGAAGGTAGATATCAGGTATGATACACACATATGGATCCTCGCATAAAATTCTGTTAAAGGCAGTATTATCTACATAAATATGTATTTTTACTAATGATCTCGACTGCCAGTTCTTTTCATGCTTTTGTCCATCATCCTGAAAAACAGGTGTATTAGGTTCTCCACTTCAGGCAGTTGAAAGTGACTGTTGAAAAATACAGGAAAAATAAATTCAGAGAGAAAAGCTCTTAGAGTATACCTCAAAGCAGGTGTTTCCAGGTATAAGAGCAAGTACACAGTCAGAGCAGATAGTGGAAAAGCTAGCAGAAATAGAAGGGGAATTTATATTTCAGACTGAGGAATAGAGGACTTTTGTGGCAGCACGAGTCTTACTGCACATCTTACTGGCTAGAGTCTTCAGCACAGAGCATGAATAAATCAGTGCCACTTACAGGGTTCAGCTGATTTTCACTCTGTTTAGATCAGAATTTTTACTTGTGTGTTTGAACATACACAAGCCAGGAAAGATCGAAAGACAGAGGGGATGTATAGGTAAGAGGGGAAGCGGAGTAACAAGTGTGCAACACCTTCACCATTTGCTCTATATTATAGTAGTAAGCATGTAAGTGTTAGGGAAATTCTTGCAGGGTTTAAAGGTTAAAGGTAATGGTTTAATTGGGAAGGCGTCCATCTTCCTCTCTGCCTTCTCATTTCTGTGTGACATGTGGTAGTGGTAGTTGAATAGCATCACTGAGGCAAAATTGTTATAAGAAGGCAAGTTTAGATCTCATGTAAACAGAGGAAATTCTTATTGACTTCAGAGGGAATTGAACACTGACTCCAGTCGGTGAATTTTGCTCTTTGCTCATGCATCCCAAAGTTGTAAAAACTTGTTTGTCCTGCCCTTAGGACCAGACTTAGAATAAAACATGTCCAATACTACAAAACCTTCTAGGTGTCATCAGGTGTAACAGCCAACATTAACCACCTGAAAGTTAGATGTCTCCTCAAAGTGAGTCTACACTCAACGGAGAGAGACAGGGACATTCAGAAAGGGATTGGTCCTAGGCTAAAACAGATGCCTAAACTAGATCAGATAAACTTTCCTCGGGATTTCCTTGCTCTGTTGACTATAGGAGGGGTCTAGTGATAGCTGAGATTAAATTCCTCCCCACTAGTGTCGGATTTTGAGTGGAAGTCTGGTTTGTCTTTTCTACTTGTATTTTAGAGTAAGACTTCAGAATTTTTTATTCTTAAAATTCATTTGTTGTTTGCAAAAGACTATCAGACTTTTTAATAATGACTGGTACTTTTACTTTCAGACTCTTAATTAGTCAATATTTTATGACCATAATTTATGCTGCGATGAATTGTGTGAAAAGTGGTATTCTGTGTAATATTAGATGAAGTAATTTCTTCTAAAAGTGAATTTCAGCAGACTTGTATTTCTTCTTTCCTCTAAGTGTTACATTTATACAAAGTCTTTCGGGATAGATTCAAGTAATAGAAATATTAGAAAAGGTTTTCCTCCTAAGATTTCTTCATGATTTATTTTATTAATAATAATATTATTTTTGCTGATTTACAGAAGGCTGGAATGTCCTACAAACATCTTACAAAGCGGTATTTATATGCCAGCTTGCTATTATATACAGAAAAAACATTTGAATTTTGCTAGACAAGCGAGTGGCTGCTTTTTCATGGATGGAAAACTTGGCCTGCTGACAGCTGTTCGACTGTGTCCTGCTTAGCTCGAGCAATGGTTTCACACAGTGTGTCTGCTGCAGCGGCTCAGCGCATACCTCAGGCTCTTCCACGGGACTTTTCTCTCTTACATATACAACCACGCATACTTGCTGTGTCTTTCCCACTCACACATATATTCCTGAGAGCATGTGTGTAGGTGGGTGTTTATGCATATGTAGACGCTTCATCTCAATGTATAACAAACTGAAAATAAAGCCGTGTCCAAAACGGCACCTACACAAAAATGCATTCTTAGAATTTAGTGGACAAACTAATCATCTTATGACAAGGCTTCCCAACTTCCAGTTTTCAGTTAGGAGTGACCAACAATCCATTTCTTTCCGCAGAGACTGGGTGACTGGGGTGGCAGCCCTTGCTCTGTACTCCAGTATGTCCGTGGCATTTTTTTTCCTGTATAAATCAGACTTCCTTCAAAGACTAGCCGAGCAAGAAAGGTTTTCTTACACTGAAGTGATGTATTACACAAATATTTTTCTAGGCTAAGTGTCTTTATTGTGTAAAAATTTACTGCTTTAAGATACTTACTTTGCTGTCTGTTTTAATTGTATCTTTTGAAACAGTCTCAATAGATTTTTCTTTTCGTAACATTATGACACTTGATAAAATGATTGATTATGAAGTGTTGAGAGCCCTGCCATGTGATCATTTATTTTTAAATACACATTTATACTAGCCAATGCTTAAATTTCTTGCAGGAATACATAAGAGATGCGAAACATAAAGCTTGAGTCTGATCGAATCTGATGCCTCTGGAAATAGAATGCCACAGTACTGTGGTCTTAAAATAACAGATTCTGACTGAAACTGGAACTTTGCAGTGATAAATATTATGTAAAAAATTATGGTCCATCTTTGGTACAAAATAAAAAAGATGTACAGCTGTGGTGCAGGCGAACTAAAATGTGTTTGACGATGATATCTTTCTTTCCCTGTGCAGGTGCCTGTGTCAGTGGCCATGATGACTCCCCAGGTGATCACCCCTCAGCAAATGCAGCAGATTCTCCAGCAGCAAGTGTTGTCTCCGCAGCAGCTTCAAGCACTTCTCCAGCAGCAGCAAGCAGTTATGTTGCAGCAGGTAATGTGGGTTACCTGCTTTGGACCGTTAGCACAGGGCATTCGCACAAGTGTCAGCCAGATTTTATGGGTCTTATTTTGTAATGTTTCATCGCTCATTACACCGAAAAGAATGAAAATAAATGCGAAGCTTCTCAGTCTTTAAATTTCTTGTTTTAATTGCAGAAGTGTGAAATTGTGATTTTGAAACATTAAATATTATATTAAAAACAGCAGCAGTGGCAGTGGCAGATGCATTACAAATACCGAACAAATTGATATTTAAATTTGCAAGTGCTTAGGCACATTTTAATTGTAGACTTGCCAAAGGAAGTGCAAATAGAGTTGTAGATAATTGTTGCTTTAAAATTCATAATACTGTAGTGCTCCCTTTAGTCACGTAAGTGGTATGCGGTTATGAAATTTGAACTTAACAGCTTGTTTCATCATGGGAAAAAGGTTTTTTTGTTTGTTTGTTTTCACATCCAAAAAATTTGTCCCAGATAAGGCTAAAAGAAGGAGGAGATTGCTGTTTCCTTAGCACAAAATCTGGCAGCTAAGTGAAGAATCCATGAACTCGTTATTCATACAATAAAGATAGTGTCAGTGATCAGTACCTTAGTGTAACACAGAGTGGATTTTTGGTTTGGTTTAATTGTCATACAGAAAATGATGTGTCTGTCTGTCATAGTCATGGCTCAATCACTGTATGTTTAAACACTTTAATATCCAGTACTGTGATCATTACAGGCAATTCACCTTCAGTTGTGAGTCCAGCATCCTGCTAAAGAGATTGACAGATTAATTACTTTTTTCCCCTAAGAAACAGACAGTTTAGTTTGGCCTTAGTGACTTGTAGGTTTCTTGCAAGTGGATGAGTACAGCTTCTGATTTGTTATATAGGACATGTGAGGAACTTAGGTATAGTTATTTGAGGAGTTAATTTGGCTCTTGCATTCCCTTTAGAATACAGATTTTCTATACCCTTCTGTTTAGGATATTTTGGAATCTGCATTGGAAAATTTCAGAACCGCCTTGGAAAAAAATGTATGTAGATCTGCCTCTTCAAATCACATTTTTTGTTATGAGGTGATTCTTAATGGCTACGCTACCATATGCCAATCTAGAAGAGTTTAGGAGATTTATAATACTTGAAACTTTTGCCTTTATTTATTAAAGTCAAAATGGTTTATTCAGCAACAACTACAAGAGTTTTACAAGAAACAGCAAGAGCAGTTACATCTTCAGCTTTTGCAGCAGCAGCAACAGCAGCAGCAACAGCAACAGCAACAGCAGCAGCAACAGCAGCAACAGCAGCAGCAGCAGCAGCAACAGCAGCAGCAGCAGCATCCAGGAAAGCAAGCAAAAGAGGTAGGAGCTAAGCCCCTTGCTGATGCACAGTAGCCTGAGCTGTCAGAAGCTTGGAAAAGACAGGACTAGTTTAGAGTTTTTTCCCGTAGCAAGGATGCGGCTATCAAAGATTTGTTTTTACGTTTTTACTGGGCTTAATAGCAGTGCCGGTATAATTCTCCTGCTCCCCTTTCTGAGACATAGGATTTGAGCAGTCTAGTGCTGCTGTCGTCTAATGTTCGCTAATGAATCCGAGTGTGCAAAGAACAAGCTGTGTGGTGGACACCGTACTGATTATCTTGTATTCAGAGGCAATCTGTGGTGGGGAAGGAGCCTTACTTTCCTCAGTGGCACAGCTCAGAGAGCATGCAAATTTAGTCCATGGCTGAAAAAGAGCGATTGAGCGCAGATTTCAAAGTCACAGGCCCCTGATTAATGAACTGCTACTGTAGGTTTGGAGTGGCGAGTAGAAAGTTACAGTTTGATGTGCTCATAAATCAACCTGACAAGCGGGTTTCTCAGGCCTAGCTTGCACTTGTCAGCAAACTGCATCAAATATAAACATAATACAAACAAAACATGTTGAAGCAGTTAAATTGATCAGCAGGTATCCTAGACGTTGTCTTCAAGCTGCCCATTATGCAAACGTAGAGGAAGCAGTTGTGACCTCCTGAGGCTTTGTTTCTGTTTGGATTTGTGAATAGAATTTCAGACAGCCATCAACTACGGAATAGAAATTGCTCCCGTATTTCTCCGGAGGCTCTGGGCAATCCACATGACTTGCTCCATTATGCAGTCTGTTTTCCAGTGAGCGCATCAGAAGTTTCTCTTTTCCCCAAACTAGAAAGGAAAGGTCTTCCACAACAGCTTGTCTTTCTCTGATGTGTGACTGCCTTCTCATACCCTCCTGAGTCTTTGCAGACTCCAGTTTGTCTTGAAATGCCTCACAAAATCGGAACTTATACTTTTGCTCCATAATAGGGCACTTCGTTGCCTTGAATGCAATGCTCCTTTTAATATATTCCAACAAGAAAAGCGAGCGAGCTAACAGGCCAGTGAAATGAAGGCTACATCCCAGTTTACTAATAGATCACTGGAGACCACATTCATGGGCCACTGCAGACCAAACTTAGTCAATTGGAAAAACAAGAGTGCCTTCAAATCACAGGCTGCTCTAAAGAGTTACACTTCTAGCATAGATAAATTTGTTATCATCTGCCATGAGCTGGGCTTTTTTTTTTTTTTTTTTGTTTGAAACAGCTGTTATATACTTTCTCTTGACCCTTTTCTTCAGTGTGTCATTAAGTATATCTTGCCATTTTCCCTAACACCTAATAGCTTGAATGAATATAATAGAAAATTTCAAACGCTTTCACTGCCCGAGTATTCTACAAATAGCATTATTATTTAATAACTGAGATTAAAGGGAAAGAAGTTGATTTTACGTTTTTGGCTTTCTAGCCTTCACTGCACACTTTACTTTTTGCTGCATTTGCTTTTTTTTCCCCCTTCTCTTTGCAGCAGCAGCAGCAGCAGCAGTTGGCAGCCCAGCAGCTTGTCTTCCAGCAGCAGCTCCTCCAGATGCAACAACTTCAGCAGCAGCAGCATCTGCTGAACCTTCAGCGTCAGGGACTCATTTCCATCCCACCTGGCCAGTCTGCTCTTCCTGTCCAGTCTCTGCCACAAGGTATTCGAGTAATACATGATTGGAGTAATTTCTAATTCACAACCTTTTTTTAACCATTCCGTTTGCACCCGAACTTCAGCAGTTTCCCATTATGACACTTAAACATACTCTATTATTAGAACTTTATTATTCATATTACCAAGGTTTCTTGAGGCTGATAAATTTTACTGCATACTTTTATGGAAGAAAACAGCTTTTGAGTGTTTTTTCTCAGATATAAGATGCGTATTTATTAGCCTTATGTGCTGAAAACAATTTCTGATAGCAACACAGTTCAGGCACCATTGCTTTTCTCTGAGGAATTACTTAAATCTGATTTAGTGAAAATGTTATAATTTCATTTAATATAAGCAAACAGATAGAAAGTATATCAGTGATATTAAAGCCATTCCCAAACTTACTTTTTTTCTTTCTTTTCTTCTAAGAAAATAAGGTGTTTGGTATTGAAAAGCATTTCAAATCTTCAATTTATGATATGTGAATTTAGGAACAAATCTTAGGATTCATTTTCTTTGCTATTCCTTTGTATTAAATATGCTAAATATGACAACAAGTTTTGAAGGTGGTTATTCCAATAGTAATGAATTATGACCGACAAATAACAGTAAAGACTTTCCGGGGAAAAAAATTAACCTTTCTCACTTTGATCAAGATTTCTCAATGCTGAAAATGAGCTCAAACTCTACTACTTGACACAAACACATTCATGGTTGAAAGAAAATAGGCCACGCACTTTCGAAAAGTAAATTAACTTGAAGATAAATGCTGCTTACGTTTTACAGTAAGGCCAAAGACTTCCCATCTTAAGGACTCTCTCTATAACCTGAGGTATGTGTTTCTGTTTGTGTTACCATAGAGAGGTGAGCTAAATGTCTGTCATAAAAATTGCACAATACTCTGATCTCTGACACTCCAGTCCTACAATGAGCATTGTTTAGACTGTGTTCATGACAGGTAACATTACTTTTAATTGGTCTTTATGCGTGTACCTGGTTCCTCCACCAGATAACTGTTATGAAATTGAAGCTTCAGAAATTAGATGAGCAAAAGCAGAGTACACAGTGTATAGATAACCGTGTGGACAAAAAAACCCCCGAAAGACAGAAAAAAGGCATGAGAAAGACTTACCCACTAAAAACCTCAGTCCCTGGAAAGCAGGGATTCCAAATAAATGTGTAAATTCCATACATTGTGTTGTGTGGAAAAGCTATGAGACAAGGATATCTAAAGTTGTAAACATTACAGCAACAAAAAAGAGTCCTAAGTAAGCTATCACACTAAATATTACTATTTGAGAATAACAGTGAGGAGGCAAGCTGATTCATGAATTTACACACGTGAGACTGCTAATGCTGGTTTCCTTTTGTACAAAGTCACATTGGACCAGAATGGAAAAAAGGAATTGAAACACAACCTCCCTCCGAACAGCTTTACCTTCTGCAACCTCCTCTTGTGCCATCTGTTGCAAGAGGAATTCCTCAGGTTTTCTCTCACATTAAGCAATCCCCATAGATTTCCCTCAGCACTCCTACCCAATTGCATTGATATTCATTAGTTTAATGCAACACATTCATCCACTTCTAGTAGAAAAACATAGAAAAAAATAATACCTTTTTAAATACCTTTTTAGGAGAACTAGTAAACAGTTCTTTTTAAGAACTTTCTTTTACTCAGAGAATTAAGCGTAACTGAAGTCATGACAAAAAAGTCTGATACTAAAGAAATAAAAAAATACAAAATTTTACAGTTAAAATATATCTGGATTGTTCATTTTAAAGTAAATTAATCTCTTATTTGCTTCTGCCTTGATACTTTTTAATTATAATGAATTCCAGTCAAGTATTTAATTCTTCCATTTTTCTCTCCTAGTTCTTGTATCTACTGTGTATGTAGGGTTCCTTTAGATGCACAAGTTAATTTATAGGACCTGGATTTTTCATAGCCCTGATGTGGATGTGGAAACTTAAAAACATAAGACAGCTTCCTCTGGAAAACCTCCCTGCATCTCCAGAAAGGCCACTCACTCTGTGCCAGGCAAGGTGAAGTTAGAGTGATGAGGGTAAGAAGGAAAGTCTGTCCAGCAAGATGCTAAAACAGAGAGAACCAAATGCAGAGTTGTGACCAGCTCGGAGTTCTTTCTGTGGGCTTCTCTTACAGCCCATTTTGTCTTTCACAGGAAGGTACAGCACCCAGTCCAGTTCATAATAATGTAATGAAGATTCAGATCTGTTGAGGCTTTCTCATAAATCTTAAGTTTACACATCCAGATGCACCCAAATATATCCAATATTTACAAATCCAAGTAGTACTTACTAGATTTAACATAGATGTCCCTGCATTGGGGTTTGCGTAAAAGTAAGAGGATCAAACCTCCTTTGTTTTTCTCATAAAATTTAGCAAATTTTATGACAGACATTTTCTGTGGCAGTGTTAAATTAAACCTTCAGAATTTATTTAAGTTAATACACACCGGCTGTGGTAAAAGGATGTTTTTCTCCTTCCACTGTGCTGCAAGATGTATAATATGGTTATACAGAAGGGTTTACATATGTGTAACACAAATATTTTTATATGCATCCCTTTAGATTGCTGAGTTACTTGGATGACTAGAACAATGAGAGAAACACAGGGGTATTCATGTTTATAGGTTACTGGTCAAAGAGTCCTGCAAACCACAAATTATTAGTGACAAAGAGAACATGGGGTTTGCGTTTGTTAGTATGGAAAGACGTAAATTCCAAGTACAGCTGTGAGGTTTGCGTATATAAACAGTATTTGCTCCAAATATAGTTTCTGCCTTTAAAGGGCAGGAACGTTTACCATGTTTTCTTGATGGCCAGGTATAGCAAATAAGAGACAAGAGGTGTTGTAGCATTTATTCTGTGACAAGATCTTCACTATGCCATATCTCAAAGCCAATGGCTTGCTGTGAGTTACTTCCACGTAATGCTGTATTGATGCTAGCTAAATGCAAAGGACTGCAAATGACAACAATAAAATAAAATTAAAAAAAACCCAAACCCAAAGCCCTGGGTTTTGATCAGACCATGTAGGAAAATGAAAAACAGATGCATGGATGGGTTTTATAAGTGGTAGTTTTATTAAGTATTTATTTAAACATAAAAATAGAGTAGATAGTGGTAAAAAGAGTTATAAAACTAGCCTCAAAATCCCGAAATTCTTGGTGGTGGTAAACTGCATAGCAAATCAGTATTTGCTCTTTTCATTGTAGTCCCTAATTTTTATCCCACTCTGGATCCTCTTCCTGATCCTTTCTCCTTTAATGTGGTGTGGAGAGGGTATTTTGAGGGTTATCACAACCTGTGAAACTTTAAAACTTAGCCTGCTTTTACATCCAGACTAAAATATCTGTCAGCCATTTTACAGGTCTCTTGTAAAATGGGAGTTGGACTTCTTCAGACACAGAAACTACAAAATTGCCATAATTTACAATTAATTACAAATCCGCTTATTAACTTTATACTTTTTAAGTGTCTGCCCTTAATCCTTTTATCCTAAAAGGCAGCCTTTCAGAGTGCTCTGAAGAAGTGATAAAATTAACCAGCCTGAGCCCAGAGAGAAATTTCTTTCTGATTTTAAAAAAAAACCTCTAGGTGAGCTAGGCAGCCTGGAGACACAGCTCCATCCGTAGCTTCATGCAGAGGAAGGGGCTGCCCAGCAGTTGCCCAGAGGGGCAGGAGATGCCCGCCCGTGGGAAGGACCGTTCCTCCAGCCCTTCACCCCGGTTATGGGGCGGCTCTTCCTCAGCTCCCCTAGCGCCCAAGGTTCAACGATCTCCGATGAAAATTTTCTCGCTGCAAGACACAACAATATGTTTGCCCTCTGCTTCTCCAAACGGATGGGTTTATTCTTGGGGTTTATTTTTCTTCAGTACAAGATGAGTTTATTTTGTTCAAAGCAGGAAGAAGGGAAGCCTTTGAAGTAAATAATGTACTGTGTATATCACGCCGCCTAATGAATACATTACGTTTCATTTTGATTTGTGATTACATTTGCGGGTAACTATTATTTACCACGCTAAAATGGGTTATTTGCAGTGTTGCTGGAACAAACTTCATGAACACAGCAGTAATTACTTACCTTCATTAAACAATTACAACTAGTATTACCATCGCTCCCACTACCCATCTCTCTAATGCAGTAAATTAGAGCCTGGCTTCTTTGCTTGCTTCCTTAAAACCTAGCTTTTCGCTGTACAAATACGTATAAAGTCCAGTTTTAAGACTTACATTCCAATCAACTCTTTTTCACTTTGTCATTAACTGAGTTTGCCAATGGGTGTTGGTATCTAAGGTAGAGAAGCAGGACACAAAATAGTAGTCTAAAAATGAGCTCCTTTCATAATTTAAAAAAAATTTAATACCTTCCAACCAATTTGTTTCTACACTACCTCCAGAAATTATTATTCCTGTAAATCACTACTAGTCTATTTTTTAATAGCTTTGTATACCTCATGGTGAGACAGCTATTGAGAAATATTAAGGAACTTACTGTGCTTTTTCATAATTTTTTGTTGAATCCATTTTAGTAGTCTGAGTTCCTATGTCTGCAAAGTAAAACATTATCTAATAAATAGATTTGCCCAACAATGAAAAACAATCTATATCTTTCCAATATATCTTGTTTACCAAACAAAACTATCCTCAATGAAACGTTTAATGAATAGATACATTTTAATCCTTCTCTAAAGGACAATAAATTTGAGCACTTTCATAAAATAAAAAGAGCAAAATTTTAATTCAGACAACATGAGCATTTTGAATGTTTTGCATTCCAGCAGATCTAGATACCATGAGCATGTCTTACCTAATTTCACTTGTTAAGATGAGATACAGAAGACAGAATTAGATTTTAAGATACCTCTGGCCCAAACCACGTCAGGCTGAAAAACCTGGCCCTGAGACTAGATCTTTCACAAGAAGCTCTCTGGGCTTCTCATTCTTTTCTACATTTAATTTAGTGTTCTTCAAAAGAGAGATGTCAAATTTATAAAGACTGGCAGTGGCAGAAGGTGTACATATTTCTGATGAACTCTTCATCTTTCAAAACCTGAATTTCCTATCTTAGCTGCATGTTCAGTAGCAAGATAAGAGAATGCTCACAGCTCTTCTCTTGCCTGTGTTTTGGGAGTCTTTACTTCAGGCAGAAGCATATTGTAATGGAATTTTCCATGACTTTGTGCAAAGTGCTCAACTCGAGCCAGACAACCCTAGCACATATGTATGAATGCATTCTACGAGACATTGCTATTTGTGGCCAAGGATGAATCCTGGAAACTACAAGTTTCCAGGCGACAAGTGGAGTAGAGAGCAAATTTAAGCTCTATCTGCAAAGATCTGGTGGCTAGACTCCAGAATAGCACTGCGCATGTAGCAGAGAAGTTTGAGAGGCTCTTCAAATGTTGTATGGCTGCCCATCACCCCAGGAGACTGGTGACACAGAATCTTCTTTCTGCTAGCCAAACCCTCCAATTTGTTTTCCACAGCAGGGCTGGACAAAAAAAACAGTGGAGGAATTTGATGGTCTACACTACATGTAATTTCATCTGTGTAGAGGGAGTTGTAAATGGGCCAGTTTTGTTGGCTTTCTAGTTGTTTGGTGCCACTGAATGGTACCAAAGAGATTAAGTGGTCACCAGTATCTAGCTCAGCACTGTAGTGGTTTTGTTCTTCCAAATAGTCACTTTGGTTTTGCCTCTTAAGACACATTTTTAAACAGAACAATTTTTGAAAATACTAAACAGGACTAATGAATATGTGGGTGTCATTAATTAAAGTCAGATGCATTCTGCTCGAATGTTAAACCTGGTATGATCTCATTGATTTCATTTTTGTCTTCTGATTTTTCTCCCTCCAGTCTTCTTCCCCCACTCCCTGCTCTTGTTAAGTGTTTAAAGAGAATATCAATGTTTGTATCCTTAGTGTAATATGTTCTTCTATTTTCCATTACATGTTTGATTAAGAGGAATTATAAAACCTGAGTTAACTGCGGATGCATTGAGTTATGTTTCCGTGTCAAGAAACTGTTTAAGCAGACAACAAAAATCTTGTCCCGAAGTATACTTAGGGTTGGGTTGGTGTTTTTTTTTCTTCTCAAGAAATCATTGCAAGTTCTTTGTAGCTTTCACTCTTTGATCCTTGAGCAATGTTTTCAGAAGGAGTATAATAATATTAAAATTGGTGATTTCTAATTGACTGTTTATAACACAAGAGAAGACAGTTAGATTACCTGGATTCTGATGGAAGAAAAATGAATTTATGTTTTACTACATGTTGATTGTGCTGGAAAAACAGCATCAGCTTTATTGTTGGCATTAATCCATTAATAACACTGAGCTCATTATATGAAACTCTTTATTTTGTTATATTAGTGGGGCTCTCTTTCATTTTATAGCTGGCTTAAGTCCTGCTGAGATTCAGCAGTTATGGAAAGAAGTGACTGGAGTTCACAGTATGGAAGACAATGGCATTAAACATGGAGGGCTAGACCTCACTACTAACAATTCCTCCTCTACTACCTCCTCCACCACTTCCAAAGCATCACCACCAATAACTCATCATTCCATAGTGAATGGACAGTCTTCAGTTCTAAATGCAAGGCGAGACAGGTAATTCTGACAAGATTTCAACTGTGCTTATCATTTGACGTAAAGCTGTTGTTTAACACCATAAGTCACATTATTTCCAGTCACAAAATAACACTTAATACAGGTTACTTAAGAGATCGTGGAGACCTGATTTTTCAGAATTGTTTATCAGGAGGGCATAATTTTCAATAACGATGTCTAATTTTGCAGATGCAACAACAAGTACCTGCCCGTGGCTTTATAACATAGGAACTTATGGTTGTTTTGGTGAAAATTAGAAATCCCAGAATAGACAGTGCTGGTTTAGAGGTGTAAATGCAGATTTGTAGGCACTTTTGTAGGCACATAGTTTCATTCATATTTGAGTTAACACATCTGGCAGTCAGGCCCTTACTGTTGAATCACAGTGCTGGTTTCATAGAAAATGTACATCTACCTTAGTTGTCAAGGCTGTAACTCAGTACAAAGATTCTCTGTAAAAAGCGCTTTAAAAATTAGTACATTAAAGCAGTTCTCATATTGTTTGTCTCTCCTGTGAAGAAAACCACTGAATTTTCCTTCTTATATGCACGACAGTAATGCAGTTGACACATTTCATACAAATTTTCAGTGGCGTTAGTGTAATACACTGGAATTCAACCATATGGGTAAAGTTAAAATCATTTTTCAGACACATTGACAGATATTCTTCACTGTTCCTGATTTTTGAGTAATGGATTAAATGCATACAAGAGTACAGAGTATCTGTAGCACTTATTAGTAAATATATTAGTATAGTCAGGTGTAGATGATCTCAATATAAGATGAAATTTAATTTGTATCTTCATAACCTAAATTGTAAATAATGGTATTTTCAAATATTCCATTTAATTATTTTAATATTTATAATAGGAGACTATAATTTAAGTGTCTCTGGTCCTCATGTGACTGTGAGAACATTTTTCTATCATTATTTTCTATTATTTAAAAACTGGCACTTCTCTGAATACCTTTATAGTAGTACTTTTAGTATTTATTACTTTTATGATTATATCTCAGAGAGTGGTTCTTTGCTTCAGGATGTGTAGCTGATGCCCACCTCCATGGGGCAATCCCCTGAATTTCTTTGGTAACTGTATGTGGATGAAACTATTGCAAAGGTTCCAAAAAAAGACAGGGAATACAGCCGGGGGTTTTTATGAAGCCAAGTAGCTAATAGAAGCAACTTTATTTTTTTACACATTTAAGCAGAAAATTCAAATATTTTGTAGTAACATTCACAGTATTCATAAATTCTGACTGTCCGTCTTCAATATTTCTTCTCAGAATTGATCACTTCTGAGTATATTTTTTATTTATAGGTAAATGTTACACCAAGGTCATATGGCAGAATTAGCATATGGTATTATACAGTCATCTTATTTTTTCATCCTTTATTAACAGTCATCTTTGGCTCTATTTCTTCTCTAATTGGAACATCATCTAGCCTTGGCAGTTGAACTATTGAATAGAACGATTAAATTTTTCTGACTGCTCTGAGCTAAATTGACCTGTTTTGACCTGTTTGTCACTGATCGTAACCTGACAGGCGCTAGCAGCCTCCAACGATTATGGCTTTTGAGATGAATCTGATGCCTTATTCTTTTGCTGCAGCTCGTCACATGAGGAGACTGGGGCCTCCCATACTCTCTATGGTCATGGAGTTTGCAAATGGCCTGGCTGTGAAAGCGTTTGTGAAGATTTTGGACAATTTTTAAAGTAGGTGGATTTTTATTCATTGGTACAGGGTTGTTTAAGGCAAGGGAAAGAGAAAGACGGCAAACAAAGTTTTACTGTAAATCATGTCAGAGATTTTTTTTTTGTGTATTCCAAGCAACTGGATAATCGAGGCTATCTGCAGAGGGTCAAATTGTTATCCTTTCTTTCATGTCGAACACTTCTGCAGGCCTTTCAATAGCACAGTGTTTAATCCTCTTATTATCCTTTTCTGAAATGGAGCCTCAGAAAATTTGAAGAGATGCTTTAGATTGTATATTGGATAGTAGGGGTATGAAAAAGCACATTTTGAATTCTGACAGTTTGTGTATAGTGGGAATTAATGTGTATAGTATAAATAAAAAGGCACAAAGGACTAAGCGTGACCATTTAACTCTCACTTGCTAATTTATTTTTGCTTTTACTCTTGTATGTGCACAAGATACACAGAAGAAAAAACCACTGTGAACAGGTGGGTTTGCACCTTTCAGGACTGACAGTGATGTCAAAAGTTTTCACTTTCAGGATTTGGTTTTGCCAGCTATCGTCTAAATCAGAGCACTTAGAAAATAAGTGACACAGCTTTTGCTTTTCACCTGCAGCTTCAAACTACAATGGGTTTCTGCATTTTTTTTCCTTTGTTTTGGGGGGGGGGGGGGGGGGTTTTTTTATTGTGTT